GTTTCGTGCGAATTGCGTGGTTCAATTTCGTTAACTGCGAGCAGTATACGGTTGAATCAATCGTTTTGCATGACGGTAGCAGCTCGTAGTAGATGATATCCTTGAAATCCTACCATACGGAGAGCATGATCTTCTTTAGATGCAATCCTGTCTTCGAGGTTATTTGCGGCGGCTCGCTGCTGTGTTTCCGTGATGTTTTACGTGCTACATTATCGTAAACGATCTACTTTTCATCGCCCGTCGCTATCCGCCTCAAAAATAGACTGTTTTCTTGGTGTTTCGAAGCAAATCGCAGATGGATATGTGAATGGCTAAGTTGATTTCGATTAATTTATGTGGCACCCAAACATGGAGTTGAGAGATATATCCCAGCTGGCGTAAATGGTTTTTTACGCTTGTATGGAATACATTCTGTCAAATAAATACCGAGAATTATTTATTTAAAAAATCCGCCTAAAAGGTACGAAAAATACTTTTTTGCTGTAAGTTAGTACCAATGTACTTAACCTTTTGAGGACGGGTAGTCTATTTTTAGGCTTTTAATTGATTTTTCTTTAATTGTCGTATATAATGGTTTTTGGTTGGTGAATTAATATTTTATTTAAAAACCTATGTTTTAGTAAGTATAGCTGTAATGTTATTATTGTTGATTTAACGCATGCTTACAGTAAAAAAGTATCTTTTTCTCGTGTAATCGATATATATTATTTTCTTTCTTTACTTTTACTTTACTGGGGATATTTTTTCTAATATGCTTATTCGCATATGTAGTTATTCTATCGTCTGCCAAGTGGCACTACGTACTATACCATGCTCGCTAGTAAATAAGCGATCTTCCAGATATAAGTATATCCAAACAAAATTACTTTTGAAAAGAAGAAAAAAAAAACGCCAAGTACACGCGTTCCAGCGTTTATTGCGCAAAAAAATATTTTAAAAAATGTTATAAAAAATTAAGGACCAAGAAAATAATATTATGGGATGTTATATTTTAACTTCCCAAAAACTATTTCATTATACGGAAAAAAATATTTAGGAAAAATTATTAATGCAAGTTTGTACAAAAACGTTACTTTTTAATATCTTTAAACAAAAATTAATGAAATAAAAAAGTTGCGCCAACTAATAATGCGAAAATATCTTGTACAAGACATGAAAAATGAAGCAACGAAAGCAAATAAAATTAAAAATAATAAAACAATGAAAAAGAAAATTAAGATTTAGACAAAAACACTTGGCGTACCTAGGATGCATTAAAACAAAAGTTGTAATATATTTAACATTTCAGTCTTCTAATAATTGCGTTGGTACATTTTAGAATTATATTATGGTAATCTATATTCCTAAAAGTTAATATTGAATATGCTAACACTATTTATATATTTGACAGTTTATAATATATGAGTACGTCAAGTGTTTTTGTCTAAATCTTAATTTTCTTTTTCATTGTTTTATTATTTTTACTTTTATTTGTTTTCGTTGCTTCGTTTTTCATGTCTTGTACAACATATTTTCGCATTAATAATTGGCGCAACATTTTTATTTCATTACTTTTGGTAAATATACACATTAGGTTAACCCCCTCAAAAATTTATGGCTTTGATATATATTGTTAAGGACATGTTCCTGAGTGTTATGCAAAAAGTTGCAGCCGTCATTCATTGTTTATTAAACAGTTCTTGAAAATCGTTTCTGTTATATTTATTCGTAAATATTTACCTATGGGGACCACCTCCTGATCTAAAAAATTTTAGTTATATGTTATATATAGGGTGTCTCAGAACACGGACAGAACACTTTGGAACACGGACTCCGTAGGGACATAGAGCTAAGTGAGAGGAACAAAAAAGTCCTGTACCATTATAGTATATGCGTTATGTATTTTTACCGACGGAGTAATTGTGATTCCGATTGACGACTAACAGCGGCGTATCGATGCGACTCGGAACGTGATGTACCACGTGTGCGCAGTTGTTGTTGCACTGCGAGCTAGCGTATAAGCCATGGAGGTAGGAATATCTGGAGGGAGCATATTTCTCCGGTCATGAAGCCTAAGGGGAAAGGGGAGTGTAAGTCTATTGTAACGTATATGAACTACCAAGATGGCGACAGCAGTGACGGTGATTACATGGAATATCTATTGTAATTGGAAATACAACTTTCACATGAATAAAAATAATAAATTGAATTTGATGCATTGTGAGAAAAAGTAATTTCAGAGAACAAAAATATAATCAATTTACGTATGGTTTATTATGAAATATACAAAACGTATGACAAAATAAAAATTGCATTATAAATATAATATAATTATAAAAGTAAATTATAATTTTATAATATAGTTATAGTTATAGACTATAACGCATGTCTTACTTTTTATTAACATAAAAGAAATATAAATGTAAACGCAAAAACTACCAGTAACACAATACAATGTTATAATTTTCTACTCAAGATGTAACTGTTACGTAGGATGCACATTATGATATTGTATAATTAGAAATTAGAACATGAGTGTAATGTTACTGTTAGTTATTGTTTACTAGAATTATTGTCCCTTAAACAAAACTATTTTGTTAAATGCTTGCCTTATACTTATGTTATCACGAAGTATATTACGCCCTATAAAATGTAATCTTATTTTAATATATTTAGAGGCGATTGCTCTCATAAGATGAAACACATGATTTTCTAAAATTGTTTGATCACGAGAATGTTCTTCTATATTTGAGAAAATATTTCTATTTTCAATGAGACGTTGCAAAACTTGGTTCAAGAGATAAATTTCTGTAAATTTTTTTGATAAACATTTATCGCCACTTTCACGCAAAGCTAAACGAATTGCAATTTCAGCTTTAGTACAAATTACAATTACATCGTGTGAAGGCAATCTTAAGCCCCCACGATTTTTAATATTAATTAAAGAACATTCGATATGTGTCTCGTTGCCAGTAAGAGCTTCGATACAAGTTTCACAATGTAGAATTTTTTCTAAATATCTTACAACAAAACCTGCAATATAAGCTATAACTCTCGTTGTAAATTCTGAAAGCGTTATTGTATCAAGCAAAAGAGGTAAATTTTCGTTCCTATCTTCATGATTGCTATCATCTATTACTCGAGATTTCGGAGTTGACTGATTTATTATAGTTGCAGAATTCGCAGAAACATGTAGTATTGAAATTATTTCTAGCGGGATGCAATTACCAGTTGCTGTCTCTGTGATCTCTGTATGGACAAGAATTTTTTTATAAGCGGCTTTAAATTACCGAGCCGTCGGGTTATTGTTAGAACCTCCATGAGCTCGTATAGAGCTGAATAACAATTCAACGTGATCTTGGTTAAATTTATAACCTGATATATATTTTAATACGTCTTGACTAACAACTAAATCTTTATAAAGTATTGTTATACTTTTGATACATATCATAAAACCGAGGAATGCACATTTATTTTTAGGATAAATCAACAATTGACCATCTGTCTTTCGTAATTGTGATAGGAAATTATAGCCTTCTTTTAATTTTTCCAAAATTATAGAATTATTGTTTTTATTTAACGGTTGTTTGAACCCTATCTGTTTCATGTTCCTCGAATTTAAGATATCAAAAAGATCATTTATTATTCGTATGAATCTTATCGTTGGGGCCGAATTTGCAAAATCTGTATATCGTAAATCATTTTTACAAATTTCTAATGCATCAGCTACAGAATTACTGAAGATTTGCACTGTGAGTTTTACTTTCATTTTTTGTTTATGGTATTATATATGACGCGTTCTTAATTTATTACCCAAGTGTAGACTTTCCTTAACTTGAATGTCATTAAGCTTCGTAAAATGTTCCCATTGGATCATATCACCATTGTCATCAATTATTGATTTATGTTCTCCAATACAATTACGTAATAGTTTCACACAATGGCATGGGTCGAGAAATACAGTAACTTTTCTGTCCGTTATCGGATGAAAGAAATAAGTCTGAAAAGATGTAAAGTTAAAATTACATCCTAAAAGTGTGCACATGGTTAAATTAGCTGGAGCCCCGTCAAAAGTTACAGATATTATATTTATTTCATGCTCATGCAATAGTATTAATGCCTGACGAACCATATTGAACTTTTGCTCTGCATTCAGACCAGAAATAAAGAAATATCCAATGGGAATTTTCCAGGATCCATTAATACAATTTACAAGAAACACTAGTGCTTCTTTTGCTATTATACCGTATTCACAATCAATATTAGGCCCCAAGTCTATATATCCATAATATTTCTCACCATCATATTCTACATGTTGTCTTACAGCCATTTCATCGAATATAAGAGCGCCAAAAAGAGGATAATTTATTAAATTAGCACGTTTTTTAATGGACTTCAATGCTTCCTCGTTAAAACCAGGTTCACCGTGAACCGACTTGTACCATTTACTTATTGTTTTTGGATGGGGTAAACAAGTATCAAATTTTTTTCGAATAAATGCATACGCTCGTGGCGAATAAAAGTGCAACGTTAAAGCAAACGATCTTAATTCTGGCCTATACTTTTTAGACGTTGGAGTTTTATTAATCTTATTAACTTGACGTTTTAATAATTGTTTGTTGAAATTACCTAAATCTTTTAAGACATCCAGCTGTTCTGCATTAAGAAGATTTTTTTTTTTCAAACAAGTCAATACATTTTTCAATTTTGCAACACACTTAATGGTTCGTCGTTGCTTTTGTTGTAACATTTTAATTTTTTTCTGAAATTCTTTTCTCGTATACATCAACGCAGTTCTCAACGATTGTTTCCGTGGCGTGTTTTCTTATAGATATGGCGAAACAATTATTCCTTGATTTTTAATTCTTGAAGTACGTGGTGTACTCGTCTGGAAAACTGTATCAAATACAACGTTGATGAAAAAATATAACTAAACGAAAAAAATTTCATAAACATTATTCTTTTATTAGGAAAAAAAAGTAACTACATATCTTGAGTAGAAATACTAAATTTTTATTCTATTATTCAATCTATAGTAACTAGTAACAAAACTATTAAAAATCACTGGCCAATTTATTATTAATATAAAATTTTTGTAATAGTCCGCTATCACTTAACAGTGTTTCTACAAAATGATTTGTTTTATCTATTGCAATTGATAAATATACCTTGTTCAATGTTGTCACATATTTCCATGGAATCAAGATTTTCTGCTTCTTTGATTCTGCATGTTTCAGGATCATCTATATAATCTATATAATTGTCATTAAAAGAATCATTATATTTTATAAGAAATTATTAATAAGATTATTCATAACTCCACATCACTAAACAGTTACAATAAGATGATCACTAAATAATATATTTTTTATAATAAGATAATTATGTTTTAACATACTTTTTTCTGCATTGTGATGTATTTTTTGTATTTTTACAGGATCAAGATTCTGTTGCTCTTTCATTAAATTATAATTATGTTCGTCCAATATTTTTTTTCGTTTCACAGGAGACTCGTCATTTTTCATATTCATATTATTCTATAATACATATTTTGTTAATACATATTGTCTTACAAAATATAAAATACTTGAAACTGATAATTCTATGTCTATACATACAAATGGGACAGCACCAGATCTAATTCTAATACAATTAAGTGATGTTTTGCCCATATCACTTTCTTCAAAATGTAATGAGCAAATAAATGCATTTTCTGGAACATTACTGTCATTTAAGTCCATTCTATCAAGCCACTTTTTACGTACTTGTGGTTTCTTTGGAATTCTGTAATTATCAAATTACTTTAAAAAATGTCAACAATAATATAAAATATAATTTTACTTTGAATAATCAATAGTATTAAAACATACCTGTGAAATGTAATTAGTCTGCCATGCGAGTATTCCCATCTCAATTGTGTTTTATGAAATTTTTTTCGTGTTACGTGTCTTCTGCTCTTGCAGTCTTTTGTATAACAATCAGGCATATTGCGTGAATTATTATGTGAATTTATTATTGCAAAGCACTTTATTACAGATATAAACAACTTTATTGCAAGCACTTTTATTACAAAATATGTGCAACACACACAACCTCAAAATTCTTTGGTTATAATCACGCCGTATGACGTGAAAATAGATTTGAGTTACATATATCGTATCTTATATATATGTTATTTTTGAACCACCAAGATGGCCGCTATGGATATTTCCTCTTACCTCTCAGGCTTCACTCCCCTCGCCCTCAAAAATACTTTATGCTCCCTCCAGATATTCTTACCTCCATGGTATAAGCACACGACATGCATGCACGTGCCACCCTTGTATAGATTCCCACAATAAACTACACGTAGAAAGTACAAACACAACAGTGGTATCAGAAGTGAGATTTCCCGGATCTTTCCACGAGTGCACTATTACGACGAGAACATTGACCTGGCATAGAAAATGGCACAGGCAAACATCTCCCCGGACCTGCTACAGGCTCTGTCCGCCATGATGGCGAGTGCCTTACAGGCGTCGGTCGCAAACATGGGAGCCGACACAAACGGAACTTCCCCAACTACATACCCGTCGTACCATCGTTTTCGATGACGGAATTCCGATCGACGGAAGGGACATCCGTCAAAGACTATTTCAAGCGCTTTCAATGGGCTCTTGAATTGAGTAAAATTCCAGAGAATTAACTCGCCAATTATGCCCAAGTGCACATAGGATCAGAGCTCAACAACGCATTAAAATTTCTCGTCAGCCTACGACTGCCAGTGGACGTCTCCTACGAGGAACTTCGCACAACATTGATTACACACTTTGACCGAGCAAAGAATAAGTATGCGGAAAGTATCAGATTTTGTCTTATCAAGCAGCAGAGAGAGAGGAATCTATTGCCAGCTTCGCACTACGTCTACGACAAGGAGCAACGCATTGTGAGTATAGAGAATTTCTTAACAGAATGCTGATAGAACAGTTGCTGCATGGCTTAGGATCTCGTGAGATGTGTGACGAGATCGTCGCAAAAAAGCTGTCCGCATTCGTTGAAGCCTACGAGATCGCGAATATGCTGGAAGCAACTCATAAGACGACGAACGTCGTGAAGAATGCCGAGCTCCCGACACAGAAGAATACGCATAAACTCGGATTTACACCGCCTAAAGTGAAAAAGGACAAGAAGCTGCGTCAACGTTCATCGTCACGATTTGAAATTTCAAGAAGGCCAAGCGTCACCGAGACAATGGAGAGGGAAGGAGTCGAGCGCTGAAAGTACGTGCAGTGGCTGTAGAGGGCAGTACGCTAGAAGTCAATGCTGTTTTCGTGATGTATTATGTAACACATGTGGAAAGAAAGGATACATCGCGAGAGTATGTAGATTGAAAGAACTGCGTACAGAAGCACGAGTAGTGGCGTCGTTACAACTGACCGAACATATCGACACGATCCGCATTAAAGAAAGAGTTAGTTCGGTAAACTCTCTTCAAAAATATATGATAAACGTCTCCGTGGATGGAAAAGTTATACAAATGGAAGTCGACTCAAGTGCTCCATGCGGCATTATTAGCATAAACACATTGCGTACGTTTAAGCCTAATTATATGCTAGAGAAGACAAACAGACAATTTGTAATACGGGACATCGCATTCCATGCATCGGACGCATTGAGGTTAGAGTAACGATTGGTCAAACAACGCAAAGGTTGAATCTTTTCATTGTTAAAGGTCGTTTCGATTCTTTATTTGAACGCGAGTAGATTTCAAAGTTTGCACACGAGTTAGATTTCAAGCAACTTTTTTCATTGTCAAACACCATACATGCGATAAATTCTTCGACCTAACCTCACAACGAGTCAAGAAGCTCAACTCAAACAACTCCTGTCAAAACACGATAGTATTTTTAGTAACATTGCAGGTACACTTAGCGGTCCACCAGTATCATTACATTTGAAACCAGAAACAGTACCAGTATTTGCGAAAGCAAGAGAAATTCCAATCGCGCTTAGAGATAAGTACGCTAGCGAAATCGATAAAAAAATTGCGTCTGGATTCTACAAACGTGTAGATTACTCAGAAAGGGCTTCCACAACTCATATCGTTATCAAAAGGAATGGTCAACTGCGAATTACAGGTAATTATAAACCGATTCTTAATCCGCAGATAATAATTGACGAGCATCCTATTCCTAAAGCAGAGCATATATTTAGTCAACTGAAAGGTGCTAAATTCTTTTGTCATCTTGACATTACGGACGTATATTCTCATCTCACTCTAGATAACGAGTTCGCACAGGCATTAACATTGAACACCCGTACTCACGAGTTAATTCGTCCAACTCGAGCAGTTTACGGTGCTGCTAGTATTCCCGCGATTTGGCAGCGAAGGGTGGAAACCGTATTACAAGGTCTTTTGAATGTTAAAAAATTTTATGATGATATACTCGTTTTTGCAAGCGATTTTGATGGTTTATTACAGGCGTTAGATGAAACTCTAGAACGACTAAAAGAACATAGTTTACGTTTAAACCGGAATAAATGTGTATTTGCTGCGCCTTTAGTTGAATTCTTAGGACTCAGAATAGACGCACTTGGTATACATAAATCGAATAAGCACATTTAAGCTATCAGAGATAGCTCCAAAGCCAACTACCCCAGAAGAATTGCAGTTATTTATTGGGGAAGCTACGTATTATGTAGTGCTTTTATCCCGAATTTATCAACAAAAGATTGCCCATTACGAAACATGTTACTCAGCAAATCATTTAGATGGACACCGGCTGCAGAAAAAGCATACGAAGCTATTAAGAAAACATTAATCTCTCCTCAAGTATTAATGCCGTACGATCCAAATCGACCTTTAGTTCTTTCTACAGATGCCAGCAAAACAGGCTTGGGAGCAGTCTTATCCCACAGATTATGCGATGATCAAGAGAGGCCAATTGCTTACGCGAGTCTCACACTAACTCCTACAGAACAGAAATACCCACAAAACGATAAAGAAGCACTCGCTATCGTCTGGGCTACCCAAAAATACTTTTATTACTTGTATACAAAACACTTCACATTGGTTATGCACCACAAGCCTTTGACACAAATACTGCATCCAAGAAAATCGTTGCCAACACTCTATATTAGTCGAATGGCTAATTACGCCGATTATTTATCGTATTTTGATTATGACATAATATTCAAGCCTACATGCGAAGGCAAACGCAGACTATTGTTCACGTATGCACTTACCTACGTCTCAATCGATACAATGAATTTCTCTCATAAAGAAGGAAGAGACAGTAGTTAGACGGATTCGACAAATTCGTTTTACATCAAATCGAGCAGTTACCAATCTGCGCAGAGAACATTGCACGAGAAACACGAAAAGATTCTCATCTTGGTAAAATAGTTCAGCAACTAGAATCAGGTCAAGACCTTACTCGACTAGGTTATAAGCCGCCAGAAACCAACTACAGACTGAGTAATGGATGCCTAGTATTCGAACACAGAATTATAATCCCGTCAATTTTCAGAGAAGCAGTCCTGAACGAATTGTACACCGCGCATCTCGGTATAGTAAAAATGAAAGGATCGTTTGTATTTTGGCCCGGCATCGACGCCGATATCGAGAGAGTGGCAAAAACGTGTATAGATTGTGCCAAGAATTCATATCAGCCACCGAAGATTCGTATTCATTATTGGGAATACCCGAAAGGCCCATGGGAACGAATACACCTAGATTATGCAGGCCCAATAGCAGGAAGAATGCTATTAATTATCGTGGACGCCTACAGTAAATGGCTTGAGGTTAAAGTTACAAATTCAACGACGACATCAGCGACGACTGCAATCCTTGAAGAAATATTCGCGGCGTATGGTGCCCCAGTCACCATTGTAAGATAATGGACCTCAATTCACAGCATCTGAATTTAAATCATTCTTACACAGAAATGGTGTGAAATACCACCAGAAAACGGCTCCATATCATCCATCGACGAACAGACAGGCTGAACGATATGTCCAAACAGTAAAAGATGCTCTGAAGAACATGGGAAACAATACCAGCATTATTGCAATATAATGTATGCTAGTTCCTACGACAATATCGAAAAGCTCCTCATGCAACAACAGGACAATCGTCGTCTCTACTCTTTTTAGGACGTGCGATTTGAACAAATTTAGATCTCGTACGACCGGAAGAAACAAACGTTAGAGTTACACAAAAGCAGCAAGCATCAGTTAACGCAATATTCCACGAATTCCAGCCAAAGCAGCAAGTCTATTTTCTATCTGGAGACCCTCGCACAGATAAGTGGTTACCTGGCATCGTAGTCACCTGCCTAAGAGACTTGCACTACGAGTAATAGAGTAATAGAGTAATAGAGTATTTAGGCAAGAAGATCAAATGACATGTTGACCAGATGAAGAATCGTTTTAGTCGTGAGAACAGTTCACAACACAGTGATTTGTCGAAGCACAAGAAACGAATTGAAAGACTTCGTCGAATACATTTTTACGATAACCATAATGATCCACATGAGAGTAACACCATCGACATCGTCAGAGAATATTTCGGAGAACGATTCCCAATAATTTTTCTCAATACCATCAAGTTTGTCAACTCCGATAGCTAGCCCACCTAAAGAATGTAGAATCAACTCGTCGTCTCCAACCATCCGCAAATCTACGCGCATCAGTCGCCCGCTTCAAAGATTTGTACCCGGATAACGACAATCGCGAAGGGGGGGGGGGAGGAAATGTAGTGTATGCGTTATGTATTTTTACCGACGGAGTAATTGTGATTCCGATTGATGACCAACAGCGGCGTATCGATGCGATTCGGAACGTGATGTACCACGCATACGCAGTTGTTGTTGCAGTGCGAGCTAGCGTATAAGCACACGACATGCACGCACGTACCACCCTTGTATAGATTCCCACAATAAACTCCACGTAGAAAGTACAAACACAACAACCATAATGTGAAAATCGTAATAGTTTTTTAGTAATAATCGCGTAAAGTTTGGCGTTTTCCACGCCTATCGCGTCCTATAGCCGCTCCGCAGCGAGCTGTGTGCGTCGAGGCAGGGCAGTAAGGCGGCACGCGCTGACCGCCGGCGATGATGTTTTGACGCTTTGACGTCGCCGGCGCGCGGCGAGACGATGATGAACGCGCCGCGTGTACGCTGCAAATCTAAGCGTGTTTTCTCTTTGCCAAAAGTGTGTGGCGCACATTTCTGGGTTGCAGGCGATAGTTAAACGTTTATTAAACACGACGACAAATGTGAATTAAACGCAATTGCGTGTGTTAAAATTATTTTTTCACATGGAAACGTTATCATTTAC